TGTCTAACACTACAAAATTTGCTGGGAAGATGAACTTGTCCACTTTAACAAGAACATCTTCAATAATTCCACTCGGTCTCCTCAAAGATCTATCAGCGAGTTGAAGCGAAACCATAGTGGGTTTTAATTCAGTAATTCCCAGAGATTTGCAAACAGATAATGGCATCAAGTTAATGCTTGCCCCAAGATCACACAATGCCCTGCCAACTTCAGTATTACCAATAGCAATGCGAATATTGAAACTGCCTGGATCATTGAGTTTGGGTGGAAACTTTTTTTGTATGATGGCACTGCACTCCTCAGTGAGTGTGACTGTCTGGCATTCCTGCAGCTTATGTTTCCTGGATAACAAGTCCTTCATGAACTTGGCATAGTTGGGCATGTTAGCCAGAGCTTCAGCAAAAGGTATGTTTACATGCAACTTCTTGAAGATATCAAGAAATCTCGCATATTGCTGCTTTTGGGCATCCTTCTTGAATCGTTCTGGATAAGGTGCCATGGCTCTCACATATTCCGGATTCAACTCGAATTTCTTCCTTTCAGCAATAATAGGTGGCTCTTCTTCCTCACCTTTCTGAAACGTTTTCTCAACATTATCAGGGATGATCACTTCTTTTTCTGTCTCCTTGACCTCCTTAAGCTTCTCATCAGCTTCTACATTTGTGCTTGGCTTTTCTGAAGCTGCTACCACCTTACCACTCCTAGTTGTGACAGCCATACAATCTTCCTTGGGGTTGGTAACTGTATTGCTAGGGAAGGTACCTGGAGCTCTTTCTGCAAATTGCTTAGCCAGTTGGCCAATTTGATTCTCCAAGTTTCGAATAGAAGCATTTGTGTTTTTGGTATTGGCTCTAGTCTCCTCCATCAAAGCATTGATGTTTTTGGTATTGGCTCTAGTCTCCTCCATGAAAGCATTAGAATGCTGAGCCATTTGTCCAATTAACTTCTCCAAATCAGGAAGTTCATTCTGTGGAACAGGAGGAGATTGCAGATAATTGTTAGAGCTGTAGTCAAGACCACCTCCTTGACCTCTCTTCTGAAAATTACTTCCAGAAGAAAAATTCTGATTTCTTGAAAAAATTTGTTGGGGCTTCTGTTCATACCAAACCCCATTTACTTGCAACTGCTGTGGATTATCACCCATGAGACTAGGACACTCATTAGACTCATGAGCTTGCTTACAATATTCACAAACCATAGGAGTTGATTGAACCTTGGACACTTGAACTTTTTCAAACTTCTCATTCAAGCTGTCAAACTTCTTGGACAAGAGCTTTTGTTCAGCAAGCATAGCATCATTGCTTTCCAGCTTTATCACTCCTCTTTTTAGGTGAGCTGGGACGCTCTCATTCTCATTCCTTGCCAGTTTCTTTATCAGATCAATAGCTTGTTCAGATGTACTCTGTCGAATAGAACCTCCAGCTGCACTATTAATAACCAACCTTGTTTCAGGAGATATGCCATTAAAGAAGATCGCCACCTTTCTGTCATCATCTCCCTCATAGTGCGGACACTTTCGGATAAGTTCTTGGAATCTATTCCAGGTTGTACACAGCGATTCTCCTTCAAGCTGGCGGAAGTTGGTGATCTCATTCACCAGCTGGTTGTACTTCTCCATAGAAAAGAACTCGGCAAAGAATTTTGTTGATAAGTCTTCCCATGTCATGATACTATTGGCCGGCTGTCTCTCTATCCATCTGAGAGCCCTTCCCTTAACAGCAAAAGGGAATAATCGAAGCCTGATAGCATCGGCAGACACTCCATGGTGCTTAGTAGTGTCACAGATCATCAGAAATCGATCTATGAACTCATGAGGGTCTTCCTCCTCAGCACCAGAAAATTGAGCCCTCTCCACCAAAGAAATCAAAGATGGCTTCAACTCAAAATTATTTGCCTCCACTGTTGGCCTTAGTATGCTTGAGTTTGGCCTATTGAACACCGGAGTCAGAATGGTGTCCAACAATCTTGGAGGTGGGTTATTTGCATTGTTGTTACCCGCCATCTCTTGTATTTGTTGTACAGGTTCTCGATTGAAATCTTCCCAAATTAACTGCTTGGCAACTTTCCTCAGTCTCCTCTCAGTCCTTGAAATTTCAGGATCAATTACAAAGTCTGTAGGAGGAGGTCTACCTCGCATAAAACTCAGAAAAATATGTTAGTAGCACCTGTAGAACACAAAATAAGATAGAACAAAATAAAATAAAATAAATACAAATACAAATCCAATCTCAAAGATCAACGGTTATTTGTAATATTGGAATTAACAATCCCCGGCAACGGCGCCAAAAACTTGATGCTCTCCGGCAAGTATATCGATCACACAAGTAATATAATGAGTAAGTAGAGTATCGTCTCCACATGGATTGTAAACCAAGTACTACAATAACAAGTCCCCTTAAGTTGGAAAACTCGGTTTGTTGTTTGGAAAATTGTGAATTGAATTCGTGTAACAATATGAAATAAAAATAAAGACTTGTTTTTATATTTTTATTTAAGAGAAATAAAACAATAACAATGAGATTTGATTTTAAAAATATAAGAAAAATATTGTAGCTAGAGCGCACTCACCTTTTAACCCTCAATTCCTTGCAAGGTTAACCCTTTAATCCCTAATTGGAACCCCAATTCCTTGCAATGTTCCTCATGGTATTAAGCAATGAACGCAATAATTTAAGCATCCACAATTAAATACACATCTATTCCTAGCATGCATACCAATTGTTGTCCTACCCCCTTTCAAGATCAAAACCCCAATATTCCTATCTAGGGTTCTAACCTTCAAACTATTCCCAACTATCAGATTGATCAGTTCTAATAAAGAAAATAGAAAATACGCACAAGGTAGAGACAAAGATAATTATATAAATGAATAAAACTAAATCAATCCATTGTAACAAGGGTTCACATAGGGCTCGTGACCCTAACTACAATAAAAGAAAACTAGCCAAGCATAATCATGGCTAAAAATAATTCAATATTCAAAAGCATAAGATTACAGGGAAATAGATGAAGAAGAAGAAATGTAGAAGAATCCTTCTGAGCTCTACCGTCGGCCTCCTCTGACTGGAATCAGATCTCTAGGAGCACAAGGATCCTATTTATAAACTTATTTTTTTCTTCCAAAAATACCCCCGCAGAAAGACGGTGTAATTTCCTCGCAACCCGGCGCCAGTTGGCGCCGGTTTGGCGCACGTTTGCGCCAACTTGCTGCCTAATGTGTGGGGCAATTCCCGTGACTCGGCGCCAGTTGGCGCCATCCTTCTTATCTTGGGCGCCTAGTGGCGCCACTTCACTTTGACTTGGGCGCCTAGTGGCGCCATTCTTCTTCTTGTTGGGCGCTTAGTGGCGCCATGATGCTGGGAGGCGCCATCTGCTTCACTTGGTGGCGCCACTTCTCTTCAGTTGGCGCAAGGTGGCATGGTGGCGTTAGTTTGCGCCATTCTGGCGCCAACTAGCGCCAATTCTCTGGCATTTGTACTGTCATACATCCGTGCGTGTGGAGTCGTGTCAACAGGATTTTTATAATTTGTAATTTTCACTCCTCTTTTTCCTGTAAAAACACAACCAAAAGGTAAATATTATTGATATAGAAAGAATCAATATAAATAGCAAATATGTATTTAAATTGCTCTCTTATGACCCAATTCTTATCAATTTTAACATGGAAAAACCACACTTGCCAGAGGCACATCAAATCATTCCCAGATTTAAACGTTGCTGTCCCCAGCAATGTACAAGACTCAATCCAGGAAACAATCAATTATTCCAACACAACATTACACAGACAATCAAGAGATCATTATGCTAAGCATGACTGAATCAATGCAAAGAACTCCTAACAATGCCTTCTATTCTCATGAACATGTCAGAATCTAGCTTGGACAACCCTTACCAAGATAATCATATAACGCTCAACACTCAAGTGTTTAAGGGAGTAACAATCACTCAATCCATCACAGCAATAACATTACCATAAGCTTGATCATATTCTCAAGTTCCTAAAGATGAGGAACATTAACACATGCATAATTGATCAAAAGGACTTCACAGGTTGTAACTTGGCCAGGCTTAAGGGTAGGAATTTATGGTTAGTAGCTCAAATAACAATGAGATTGAAAAACTGATATTATTTCATTTTTAACACATTCAACTCAATGATTTTGCTCCACTAACATTCCCACAGAATTTCGGGAATTAATTCCTTTCAGCCACCTTTTCTTTACATTCACCCTTTTTCTTTTCTTTTTCTCTTTTTTTTTTCTCAACTTTTTGTTTTAAGGGCACAATTGAAATTTTACCTCCCCTAATTATTTGACCTCTGTGGAGCTTACCTCAATTTATTTGTTTTCTTTTCAACATTTTAGTAATTCAATCTCAATCAAGGTAAGTCATATGGATATAGGCTAAGCCATCAATCAGGCCACAGGTCATTTAACAACAAATAAGTTCAGGCTCAAGGGGGATAACAATGGAAAAATTCATACAGGTGGGTTATTTTTGGCCAATAGCTAACAAGAACAAAATGCCTTTATCATATCAATCAATACATGCATAACAGAGAAACAGAGCAAGTTCTAGAATGCTATCACAGTGAGGTCTCTCGGAATAAAATAAGTGTTTAAGCACAAAACTTCACCAGCTATGATGTCAAGCTAGACTTCCAAAAGAACATCAGGCATTATTAATTATTCAAACACAAAATTCTGACAAACGAGCAATCATGAAGTCTACTCATGCCCATACAATATCATGCCAGAAGTTCATACAAAACATGTTTCCTAGGATGCATCAGGCAAGTTAACTAGGGAAAGCATATTTAAACCTGGGACCTACTCAGAAAACATGTTCAATTTTTTTATTTTTTTATTTTTTTATTTTTATACAGCGCACACAAAAATAACTAACAAAATTAACTAAGAAAAATTTAAAAAGAGTTTAGAATATCTCCCCTGATAAAAGAATAGCGCCAATTCTCTGGCATTTGTACTATCATACATCCGTGCGTGTGGAGTCGTGTCAACAGGATTTTTATAATTTGTAATTTTCACTCCTCTTTTTCCTGTAAAAACACAACCAAAAGGTAAATATTATTGATATAGAAAGAATCAATATAAATAGCAAATATGCATTTAAATTGCTCTCTTATGACCCAATTCTTATCAATTTTAACATGAAAAAACCACACTTGCCAGAGGCACATAAATAAGACACTATCATAGTGGCCAAATATGTATTTTTGCAACATATATTGCGTAAATATATATTAACAATATAGATTTTAAAATAATTTAATATTAATATTATTTGATTGAATAATAGATTGAAATTAAATTTACTTTATTATATTTAGTAACCAGCCATTTATTTACTAGTACTTTTCACTTGTGAGTCATATTTTGTATTTTATTTTATTTTTCAAAATTTATACTATCTACTTTTAAAGAGATACATGTGTTTACTTGTCTGTTTGTCAATTTGAAGGTAATATGTGACTAATGTTGTTACAGGGGTTAACTTGAATTAATTATAAACAAAATATAATTCTCAAATACTTTGAGATGCTCCCTGTTGCATTTTCTAATGCATGCCTCCTATGTTGTAGGTTAATTCAGCATTAGTAAATACTGTTATTTACTTGCTAAGGTTTATAATGAAATTTAAACGCAAACTAACCTTTAATTAAATTAATAATATCCAAATAACAACTTTTAGTTTATGGAAATCTGTTGAGTAATAACAAGAAATATTAAAATATTCTTTTGATATATTGATATATTTTATATTTTCAGGTCAGCATCTCAACAGTTAAGTTTGCCAATGAAGCTTACCTAAGAGATGAGCATATAAATGCAAAACAACATTCGAAGAAGGCAAAAGAAAAATTACAGATGGCTCATCAGCTTAGCTGTAACGCAACGACAATAATTTTAAATATTATAACATGTTAGCTGCTGTGGCAAAGGAAGGTGTTACGATAGGGGTTTAGTGAGCTGTTGTGGGAAATAAATGTGTAAGAGAAAGAAGAGTGATTCATCGTAAATATGAAAATAAATGTGCAATTAATGATAATTTTAAATCTCAACACAAAAGTGGTTGAGATTCACTAAAAAGAAGAGAATGGATCGTATACACAAAAGTGTTATATCTTGTTTTAATTAGAGTTGTATTAATGTATCAGGATATTGTCCGGATTACGTGATGTAATGACGTGACTTAGATACTCACTTTATTTATATATTGAGGTATTTCAGTAGATGCCTTATTGCAATTTACATTCAGGCGATATTTTATGAAATTGATTAAGTAATCCAGTTGGTATTTGATAATGACGTCATAATTGAAAAAGAAAAAGAATATTTCGCATTTTTAATTAAGCGTAGCTTAATACGATGTAATGATAGCACTACCGGATATATACGGGGTGTGACACCTCCTAATTGGTAGTTGAGTTAAGCATTAGTTAATATTGTTATTCACTTGCTAAGGTTTATAATGAATTTTAGACTCAAACTAACCTGTAATTAAATTAATAATGTCAAATTAACAACTTTTAAAATATTAAAATATACTTTTGATATCTTGATATAATTTATTTTTTCAGGTCAGCCTCTCAACAGT